AATTGATAACCATCTGATGAGGAAAAATAAGCATTCTTTGTAAGTGGAGGGGTCAAATACTTATTTCCCCCACTGTATATATATATATATACAAAATTCCTCATATGATATAGATAGACATAAACATATATATATATACAATTAAAAAAACTAGCTGAATAAAACTCAAAAATCCGATATTTTGAGATAGGATATTTGGGTTTCTTCAGCTGTAAGCCATAATCAGCGATATTAAAACAATAAAAGGCCTGCGATATTTCAGTTGATTTGTAATGAATCCAGAATGTTTGACATTTCATGATTTTTAATTGCATTACAGAAAATATAGAACTTTATCACAATATTCTAAATTTCTGAGACAGTCCTGTATTTAGTAAACTCTCCCTGTAAGGACCTTTAGTTCGGCCTCTGCTTATTGTGTGTTTCTCTTTCTGCCTTTTTGTGTTTATTTTCCACTTCTGCCCGCATCCCTCTGAAAACCGGAGAGGCCTGTCCGACTTTACACCACCTGCTGGAGTTAGGGAGCCTGGAAAAGGGTCCGATTCAGGATTTAGTGATTTACCTTTTTGGGATTCAGGATTTTGGGATTTAGCTTTTTGGGATTCAGGATTTTGTGATTTTATATTTTGTAATTTATCTTTTGTGATTTATCTTTTTTTTGTAATTTAGCATTTTGTGATTTAGCATTTTGTGATGTATCTTTTTGTGATTTCTCTTTTTCTGATTTCTCTTTTTGTGATTCAGGATTTTGTGATTTAGCATTTTCTGATTTTATATTTGGTGATTTAGCATTTTGCTATTTATCTTTTTGTGATTTAGTATTTTGTGTTTTTATATTTTGTTATTTAGCATTTTGTGATTCAGGATTTTGTGATTTGTCCTGTTGTGAGTCAGCATTTTGTAATTTAGCTCACATGAACAGTATGATGTGGGCGCTACGGAAGCCCAGATGGGAACAAACCAACCGCATTACTTTACGGGGGGTTTGCCCCCCCCCCCCACATATTTAACATTTAGCTTCATTTGAAAATGTTTGAACGAGTTTATTGGTACGTTTGTATCTTCCAATCAGCCTTTTAGCATCAAACACTGTTTTCAATAACCACAGCTTTAGATAATTTAATCTTAAAGTTGAGAAAGGTTTAATGAGTAATAGTTCCCCACACGATCACTTCATTCGCGCTAAACGATCCTAAATAAACAACTCAGTCCATAAATGTGAGATTTGGGGTTAATCCGGTCACAGAAACACTCATATTATCCACGTATTTGCACGTTTGGTCTGAATCGAGTCGAACTGAGCAGTTTGAACCCGACAAAACGAGGAAAACGTCAAAGTTTTCCTCGTTTTGTCCTTCCCTGAACCAGGTGGGTGAAGTGGGTCTTACCTGAAGCGAAAAGTGGCAGAAAAGTCACCAGCAGAACCCACAACCGCAACATGTCCTCTAAAGGGACTCATCCAGGCCAAGTCCAGGCAGAAAACTGCGAATTAGAGCATTAAAAACGAAGAAAACAGGCCGCCAAAAAAACCGGCGACGCAAAAACGAAAGTAAAAAAGTTGGATAGGTGGAGCTCAAACAGGGCTTGGCCCTTTGCATTGGAAATGTCCACAGAAACGTAATAAATGTTATCTCCACCCAGATGCACTAAAAGTAAATTTATAGTAAAAATATCTGCATCCAGATTAACTGAAAGGGACCAAAACTCAACAATCCCAGCAATACTCAGCTTCTGCATGCAAAGCCCCAAATGTGTTAAAATAAGTATTTATTCCACTCAAACTTTCAAAAGTACAGAAACATGAGAACAGATTAAATCAGTGTCTCAGTGGAGGTATTCTGTCAGAGATGCCTGTTCATAAACATTAAAATAAAGTTTTATCACAGTTCAAGCGTTTAGAGGTGTTAACTGTAAAAACTACAACACAAAAGCGAATAAAGCAGAATCTTCCTGAGAGCTAGAAATAATTTAACATTTTTTATATTCAAGGATTGAACTCAAAACCAGGAACAATCTCACTACAGACAATGACACATTTAGGAATAATGGTTTCATAAATTAGATACTGAAGAGCTGGCAGCATCTGGTGGGCAAATGAAGTACAACAAGCATCTTTTCTAAACTGATGTTTTACACATTGTGATGCTTTATTTATGACAAAACTAAGCTGTGGAACGTTAATATTTGCTGCATAATGTTTTCAGATTGTTTGTTTTGTCTTTGGTTTTGGTTATATGGTATTTATGTGGTATTTGAATGGTAGATGTGAAGTGTCTTTTTTATTTTTAACTACCCATCATGTATTTTTTTGTTGTGAAGATTAACACTGCACATTTCATATCACATCGGTTGGATTTAAATTTGATCAAATCATAAAAGTTTAAACCCCAAATAAAGTTTAAAATCAGAAGATGCTCACTTCAAAATTAAACTATCTCTAAAAATTCGACCTAGTGGAGCAGAAGGAATAAATAAATAATTTGATTATTTGAATAAACAAAGCAAGAAAAAAATATTTTCTAAAACATTTGACCAACATATGAATAAAACACAGCATGAAAACATGATCTCAGTGAAGGAAAAATACTACATAACTGAATTCCCTCTTCATTATTTTTCAGATTCTAATCATTTTAAAGAAACAGTCACAGATTGTCCTTTTTTATCAAACTAAACACCGACACTTATACATCAATGTTGGTTAAATGTTTCTCTCTAAAAGAAAGCCTCTATGCCTCCAGATTCCATTTTAAAACAGGCTGTTTGAAAGCTAGTTCTGGTCTCTTTGTTAATGTATAATGTTTTGAAACAAGTATAACACTCTGTTTTATGATCATAGACCTTTTAAAACCTTCGGCATAGATAAAATATTGTAACTCACAAAATCAAGTTAGATTTTCGAATAATTAGTTTTCAAAGTGCTCTGAGTCTTTAGCCGTCACGGTTCAGCTGGACGTTTCTGACTTATTTCAGACGTTACTGTATATTTCTGATTATTCAAAATGATTTCAAAAGTAATTTCGGTTAAACGTCTCTAACGGTTTCTCCGCGCGACCAGAAGCCGGGAGAACGTTCTCGCGGGTGACGTCACGAAGCCCAGCGCGCCCGTCGAGCTGTGATTGGTCGGAAAGCTCCAGAACCAGCGAGAGGAAACGGAGGCAGAATAAAGCCGGAACCGGTTCAGGATCCACCGTTAGTTCTCAGACCAGATCCGAGAAGAGACCAGATCCGAGAGGAGACCAGATCCAAGAGGAGTCCAGATCCGAGAGGAGTCCAGATCCCAGAGAAGACCAGATCCGAGAGGAGTCCAGATCCAAGAGGAGTCCAGGTCCCAGAGAAGACCAGATCCGAAAGAAGACCAGATCCCAGAGCAGACCAGATCCCAGAGGAGTCCAGATCCCAGAGGAGTCCAGATCCCAGAG